TATCAGTGTGAACATAAAGTAAACACAGACTCCAGAATAATCTCAGTGCAGACACATATACTGACCTTCCTGTCTGCTTACAACTCACAGCTGAGTCTTTAACGCTCCCCAAAGGACTGTAGAGAAAAGCTGTAGCTTTTATTTCCACATGGACCTGCTGCTCACAGTGATTTAAGGTTTCATTTAATCAAAAAAATAAAAATAAAAATAATAAATGAATAAAAAATATCTGATAGAACACTCATGCCTTTTGGTCATTCATACCTACACACCATGAGTCTTTAAATACTGTCTTTTTATTGGTAAGCTACATTGTTTAAGTCTTTATCTCTGCAAGACTTAAACTTTTTTTTAATAATACATTCAAAGCATCATGTATCACAACAAGACTGTTGTTGCCCGAACAAAATGTTAATCCAAACTAATTTCACAAGAAGATCAAAGCATTAGTTTTCCTTTTTCAAAGCTGTGTTGGGATATGAATTGTTCCACTCACTGGCATTATTTTTTTATTTCATTTTCAAGAAAAATAAAACAAAATAAAACATTTAGATCATCACACTTAACGTCTGCGGTCACATTAGAGCTTCTATTTCCAGGAACAGTTGTCATCACCCCTTTTAAAGCCCCTCAGGTGATTGGCCAATAATAGAACAAGTCAAAGCAAGAAATCTTCAGTTGAATTTAGAAAAAAATGTGAAACAAAAACAGTCAGATCTGGAAAACTCTTACAGCCAGTTTCACTGACCATAGAGTAAAACAGTTTTTCCAGGGTCTGAATTTGGTTTGTTGTGGGGACTCATAGAAGGCCATGTTTTGTTGAACCAACTAAAATACAAAAGAAACAGGCCCATTTGCAGCTTAATGCAACTAAGAAAAAAACTTCCTTCCTTAGTTCCTTCATTGCTTATTTTCTTAGTTCCTTCCTTCCTTTCTTCCAACCACTTTGTTTGTTTGTGTTACCCAGCTACCCATGAACAAAAGTCATCAAGTTTAACACAACCTTACTAGTTTTTTTTTGACTACTGTGAGTCTTTATGTGAAATACTTGGCGGACATTTCAGATTATTAATATTTTCAACTTAACTTCTGGATGTCCATATTTTTGTTTATTTTTTAAAAATTCTTAACACATTTGGTGTTTAAACTGTGACAAGAAAGAGAATTTTACATAAAATTACGATGTTATGATGACAGCATAAGAAAAATATCATGTGTATTTACTGACATGAAAATAATACACAGTTTTTGATTACTAAAAATAGACCTGTGTTTTAACAGTAGGAATCTAACAAAGGTTGAATCACTGTTGAAATCAATTCTGGCTCCAGTGAAGTGGAGTATTTTATCTGATAAGACCATCCGGTGCTGGCAGTGTTACAGTCCCATCATTTGGTGGCTCGGTTTGTTTTTCAGGGTTAGCTCATTTTTTTTATTTGATTTATTTATTTAAAAGGTGACAGTGCAATTTAGTAAAACACACGACAATTCATGGGTTAAAAAAATCCAGAATTAGCTAAAAGGCAATTTTTTATCTGTCATCCCCCGGCATGATGTTTTAAAAGCAAAATGCTTTTGATGTGATGGTATTAATCAGTTTGCCTGTTTTAATCTGCCTCCTGTTTCTCTGTCCAGCTACACTTTGTCTCACCAACAGGAAACAAAGACACTATCAAAATGCATCGAATCAAGACCTTGAAAGTGCAGAATGTAAAAAAGAAAAATAGTTATCATTCATGTTAGATTTGAGAAACTACCAAGAGCAAACTGATTACCATGACATTTACACTAAACCTTTCTGATACCGAGGAAACTGTGCTGGTTTAAAAAAAACCTCATTGTCTGAGCCGTGACCTTGTCCGCTGATGCTCTTTTCTTTTCAGGTGACTTGAGCCAGGTGGTTCTGTCAGAATATCAGGGCAGATCGGGTCCGAAAAACAACATTTGCTTCTATGTTTTGCTTTAATAAGACTCATTAATAAACTGGATGTGTCACCAGCAGCACCCGACTGTGTCCTCTCAGGGCTGGGCTGGCTTTGGCATGACACAAAGTCAGGACACGCACAGTCAGCATATATTTCATACCTATCAATGCTGAGTTTTTTACACTGCCTGCAAACTCACATTCTGTGTTCCTGTGAGTGTGTGTTTGTATTGTTGATGCATTGGCTTGTGCAGCTTGTTAAATTAAATAACTGTGGGCTATTGGTAGCTCAAGTTTATTGCCTTGTTTACTCATTTTAAAATCCTCAGATGTGAACAGATTAGAGGAGTGGAGCAGGGGCGGTTCTAGGGGCGGGGTCACATGGGCATTGCCCCCCCAGCTGAACTCTGGTTGGCCCCCTGAATTGCCCCTGTCCTGTCACTCATCTGTCCTTTACCTGGGGGTGATGATGGTGGATGCAGTTCCTTGTTCAAACACCAGTTGTGCTAATGAGTCAAATAGTAAAGTCCAGAATGAATCAAGCTGACAGAATTCTTCTCTTCTTAAAATGTGAACAATCCTGCAAAAAAGTCTTTCAACTGAGAAATGATGGCTGGATTTTCTCACATATTGTGTTTGAAAATATTTTATCTATGTACAGTAAAATATATGAAAAACTGGTGAGGAGAATTTACTGTGCAAGCTTTTTGGTACCACTTTACAACAAGGCTCCCCTTATAGATGGCTTATAAAGAGTTTATAGATAGGTTATTAATTCATTTGTAAAGTTTACACTTCATAAATCATTAATAAATGAAACTGGACAATTTTGTCTCTTTCCCGTCCTTAATTATTGCATAATAAACACTTATTATTATTTTTAAAGTGTTTACAGATTGATTAATAACCTATCTATAAACTCTTTAAAAGCCATCTATAAGGGGGGCCTTATTGTAAAGTGGTACATTTTTGAAAAAAATTACATTACATTACAAGTGTTTGAAGTGTAAAATGTATTCACTGGGAATTTGTGTGAAAGGATGTTGAACAAAGACTTGGCATCTCTGTGAATATTGTGGCCCCTTGATGGCCCCTTACTCAGAAAAATCCCAGATCCGCCACTGGAGTGGAGAAAATAGCAGAAAAATTGAAACACAGAATATTAAATACATGACACTAATGAGTGTTTTTTTTCTTCTTTTTCCTACACTATAATCTTTAAAAAAAATCACAGTTTACCATTCTTGGCTAATTAGTATTAGCAACACAAGTTTCATTGGCACATATACTTTAAACAATTCTGTTTCAGTCTTTCCCTGTTGGATCAAAATTCTATCAGTGTTCAAACAAAACTCTTTTGAACTAAAACATTGAGATTTCCCAAACTCCAAACTGCAGCCACAAGCACAGCAACTAAATGTATAAATAAGACCAAAAACAAATGTGTTTACTATTCTACAAGTTGTTCTGTTCTGGCATGTCGGCTGGTACATGTAATGGCACAATACCTGACATCCGTAGAGTCTTGCCAAAGTACTGGTGAAGCAGATTCTCCACCATCTGGAGCTGGAACACTTCTCGTGCCGCCCCAGTCAAAGCCAAGGAGATGATTGCTGTCAGCGTGGCCATGGCTTTATTAGATTAGACACACATTGTTTACAGAGCTGGGGCTTTACATGTGCCATGAACACATCAGGGACACCAATGAGAGGGTGAAGTGATCGCTTGACATCAGGTATAGACTTCCTACATGAATGTGTTACTGGTGGAAAGGATTTTGAGAAGTAGACCTTAATGTTGTATTTAGTTTCATTTTTACAGGTTCTGTCGCTCTGTGCTCATCAGACTGTTTAGAAATATTTAGAAAACATCACCTTCTCTACTGTTACAGCCTTGTATTGATTACAGTTAATTCTCTATGTAATATATGTTTATATGAAAGGTTTGAGACAAAGCTTCAGTTGACTTTCCGTGCACCAAACTGGATTTATTTACAGAGCTGCAGTTAAAAAAAGATTAAACAGATGATTTTAATTCATACAAACTCAGACATGAGGCATGTAAATCCAGCACTTTAAAATCAACAAAAACAACGAGCTGTATTTAAGGTTTTAATCATCGATAAAATCTTCACATTTTTTCTTGCGTGCAGTGGAAGCGGTGAAAACAAAGTCATTTTTGCCACCATTGTTGCTCAAGTCAGCACCATGCCAAGGAATGAAGACATGATCAGAGGAGGGCAGGCTCTGCCAAAGTCTGCCTCCTCTACACCACAGCATGGGGAGATAGGAAATGCAGTGGGCAGGGCCAACTTTCCATTCCAGCTGGAAAGCTGGAAAAAAGGCCTTGTTTTCCTCAGCTCGGGCTGTCAGCCCTCATAGAAGCTGATCCGTTTGATTATTGTACTTTTTAAAGCAAATCAGACATGTTATCAATTGGAATACTGTGCCTATCAGGAATAAATCAGTTTCTTAAAAGTCATTAAATGTTCAAAGTTTGATTTTTTTTTAATAAAAAGCTTTTCAATGGCTTTTATTTTGAACAAACTGTGACTCATGTTTTGTTCAATGAAAGGATGACCGACTCAGTTTTTTCTGCACAGCTCGCACTAATCTTCTCTCTCATGTGCGGTGTTTGTTAATGGTGAAACCCTTCCTGCTCGGCAACATCGTCTACAGTGACTCCCTTCACCGCCACATAAAAAGGGGTCCATCATTATTCTGCTCGCGCCGCTGATGGTCAAACCACCGGTTCACAGAGCCTCAGTGTCCCTCTTTCTGTCAAAGCAGCCTCTGATCACTGCTTGCCCTGACGTCTTCAAACCATGGATCTAAATCCACATCATCTTTATGAAGCGTAAACGTACACCCTCTCATGGTCAAATGTGGGATTTCATATATGAACTCTGAGATAGCAGCATGTCACTGTGCAATCTTAATGTACTAAGATTCTTTAAAGTTATAAAATTGCATGCAAATCAGTTTTGCATTAAGGACTAAATGAAATGCTTTTTAATATCTAAAAGAATGTTAATGAATATTCTGAACGCTGTTAAAACTCTCACCATCCTCTGCAGATCTAACTGGCTGAAGCCGTGCTGTGGCCGTCGTGTGGCCCTGTGGCAGGTCTGTCTGCTCAGTGCTGGCTTCAACTGTGTCCTGGTGGCCTGCGTCATCCTGGTGGTGCTTTTTCTAACTTTGGAGCTTCTCATAGACACCAAACTATTACAATGTAAGCACCCTGGTTTTGTTTCTCCCATTGAGAGATTTGCAGACTATGCATGCCCCCCCATCTTACCAAGTTTTAAAACCTTATATCCAGCCAAAAAGTTTTTTTGATCTTGTTTTGAGACTGATTCACTAAACAAGAACTGATTGTGTAAGAATCTTGCTTTCAGAATGTGTAAGATTATTTGTCTTTTTAGCCTGAAAATTTGACTCAGATGAAGTCAAATTATCTGCCAGTGGAGTAAGAAAAAATTACTTGGTAAGACTTCTTGAAATAAGAAAAAATTGGGTCAAATCAAGTATTTCAAGAATCTTAACAAGTAAAATTTTCTTACTCCATTGGCAGAAATTTTTGACTTAATTTAAGTAAAATTTTCAGACTAACAAGACAAATAATCTTACACATTCTGAAAACAAGATGATTATTCTTACACAATCAGTTCTTGTTTAGTAAATCAGTCTCAAAACAAGATCAAAAAGACTTTTTGGCTGATATGAGATTTTAAAATTTGGTTAGGTGGACATTTTTTGCAGTGTACCCTCATGTTCTTAAAACACACATTCAGCAGCAGCTCTACTGAACCAGCGATGAATTAAAAACAGTGTTTTTGAGGCTTCACAGCAGTTCTCACTGTTTAACAGCATCATTATTTTTTCTCCTCTGTCCTAAACCAACAGTTTCCAATGCTTTCCAATTTGCCAGCATTATCCACTGGATTAGTCTTATCATCCTGTCACTCTTTTTTTCTGAGGTAAGACTCTCTTACACCTTTTCTCCATGTGCTTCAACGATGTGTGTTTTAACTCCTCTTTATTTTTTGTATATCGAGTCCAAAATGTTTCAGCTTTTCCAAAAACGTTCCCCCCCAAAGACTAAATACAAGTTAAGTTCACTGTGAGAATCAAAAGGCAATCAGTTTCCTTTGTATCTAATAAATGTCCATAGTTTTATTGTAACCGAGTTCACAAGAGCAGTCCATGTTTACTGTGAACAAAGACTGTTAAATATAAAATACATAGTTCATCCTAATATTTTTGTTCTCTATCTGATAAAATACAGTAGTTTTGTTGTTGTGAGAGCTCATCTGACTGCTTATTGACATTTAGAAGCAATATTGTCCAGATTTGAACTCTCAACATGAATGTTTTGATTGATTTGATTTTAACTTTTGTTTAAGGACTGAAAGAAGAGATTGGTCTTTATAAAACGTTAAAAGAAAAAGTCAGCATCCAGGATTGTATTGGGCAAAATTTGGGTTTAGAGAAGATATGGATGTTGAAAAGATTTGATTTAGACTGCCATTAAATGAGGTTAAATGTTTAATTTAGCTTTAGATTTTTTTCCGAAAATCTAGGAAATAAAGAAAATTAAAGAAAGAAAATTTATTTTTTAAAACACAGATTGTTGGATGTGATGACAGTTCAAAAGTACTTTAAACGTATGTTAACATACTCCATTTACTTCTTTTTTAAGTTTTCCTTCATCACTTTTTCTCTTTCAGACTGTCTTCAGAATTATAGTGCTTGGGATCTGGGATTACATAGAAAACAAAGTAGAGGTTTGTAATCTCACACTCAAAAATACAGGATCTTTTCCATCCACTTATTTCCATGTGATTTGACTAACTGACTGGATAAACCTACGTAACAAACAAACTTTTAACTTATATGTAAACATTTTCTTCTAATCTTTAAGAAAAACTGTTTAACATTTGGAGTCACCTCTATTTAAGATGGCTGCTAAAGCTAATCAACCTTAACAAACACAAAAATGGCTAAATTTATATTTATTAACAGAGGTATTTAAAGTACTTAAAAATAAATAATTAAATAAAAGAAAAATACCCATTTACACATTTTCTTTTAAAGAAAATATGAAAAGTGCTTCATATTTACTCAACTAGACTTCACATTTACAAATAAGCATCACATCACATTATGGTTTGGTCGAGCTTGAGGTTTTTGTCTGGGTTGTTCAGTGGAGTTGTTGGTTCACAGAAGAAGTAGCGTTTGAATAAAAATGTAGCATTTTTGTGTTTGACTTCCGCAGGTGTTTGACGGTGCTGTTATCGTGCTCTCTCTGGCCCCAATGGTGGCCTCAACAGTGGCCAACGGGCCCAGCAGCCCCTGGGACGCCATCAGCCTCATCATCACTCTACGCATTTGGAGGGTGAAGAGAATCATTGATGGTAGGGAAGGAAAAAAACAAACAAACATCTGTTGTCCATCAAAATCATAAAGCACACTTACCTTGCTCTTAGCTGCGCTTGAAAATGGCTAGCCTGGTAAAAACCAGACCCTGTCCTTCACTTTGCTTCATACAAGGGTCTGGACTTAGATAGAGAAGCGATTCTTGCACGAGGCGTGGCCTCTGCTGAAGCGTATATGTTGCCGCTGTAATGGAGGCTAAGAAGCTAACTGGAAATCGCGTGTGCTGTAAACAACCCTACTGAGAAGAGAAATATACCGAGCCAAATGAGACGACTGTAAATGAGAGCTGCTGCTTTGTCAGACAAATTAAATTTAATTTGGAAGCCTGGACTGGCTTCATTTACTTCCTCCACTGCCATATGCTAAACTAACTAGCAGACACCGCGCAGAAAACCGACGTCGTTCAAAACTCCGCCTTCTGTTCTCTGATTGGCCCAGGTAAAATAAACTACAAGCAGACACTGCGCAGAACATCGATRTCATTCAAAACTCCGCCTTCTGTTCTCTGATTGGCCCAGGTAAAATAAACTACAAGCAGACACTGCACAGAAAATCAACGTTCTGTTCTCTGATTGGCAAGGGCCAGGCTAGAAAACAGCTACATGCACACATTCTTCTGATGGTCTCACAAATTATTTACAATTCAGAGCAATCCAGCTATCGATCATCCTTCAGAGTAAATTCCTGCCTATCGGAGACTCTAACTCTTGTTGACTGTAATGACACGGTTAAGTAGATTCAAAGAAACATAATGAATGTAAAGGATTTCTGTCCTTATGCTAATGGGGGCTGGTTCGATATCTGTTCAGAGGTCACCCTCATGATGCCGTCTGACTGCAAACAGGATCAGCTGCACACAAAACACACAGTTTGTTCATCTCCAGCTTCAGGATACATGGCAAACATGATGTTCCCTTCAGATGTCCTTAATTGTTTTTACTGCACCATGAACATCTTTATTATCTTATAGGTAAAGTCTATTTGTTATTACATCTGGATGGCTTAAACATTATTATCAGTCAAATGCAAAGGCTGGGCTGAAGTTTTTTGCTTGTGTCTGAGTGAGTGTGTGTTCATTGGTCTGTCTGTTAGGAAAATATCTCATCAAATACTTGATGGATTAATGAAACTTTAAGAAAATAATTATTAGATGTTCATCTACAACTGATTAACATTTAGAGTCACTTCTACACTCACCGGCCACTTTATTAGGTACACCACGCTAGTAACGGGTTGGACCCC